ACCTGAGCCGAAGGCAGACGCTTAACGACTGAGCCACCCACGCATCCCATGGGAACTTCTTTACTTCTTTGTGGTATGTGTGTGTGTGTGTGTGTGTATATATATATATATATATATGTATATATATATATATATATACATACATATATATACACACACATATATATAAAAGTTATTTCAGAACAATGATAATCATGGATTTTGAAGAGTCTGATAGTCCTGGAGACCACCTCTTATAACTCCTGACCCTTCCAATTTCATGGATATAATACTATCTCTGAGGTTGTCTTAGAACCTGGAGATGCTTACCCCTCTTCCCCTAAAGAGGGGTAATCGTCCTTAATCTTTCCAGGAAGGTCATCAACAGAGTAGTTTATACCTGGAGGTGAGCTTGAAGGGAAGGAAGAGAGGAGGGAGGGAGGAAGGGAGAGAGGGAGAGAAGAAGGAACCATGCTGGTACTTTTTGTGAAATTCTCTTGCTACCCTATGAGATGAATGGTAATGTCTCCATTTTCAGATGGAATGTACTCCTTTGTACCAGGCTTCTTTACTTAAAATTTTGTTTGTGAGACTTTTTTCTGATAGGGCTTGGAGTTGTAGTTTATTCATTTTTAGGGGCAATGTAGGATTTCACTGACTATGCCCTCTTCTCTTTAAATGTAAATTTCTGATGTATATCTTTATAATTTGACATCTGTATACATTACGAAGTGATCACCATAGGTCTATTTATCATTCAGATAACATTCGGATAACTCTCTTCACCCTTTCACTGCCCCCCCCCCCCCCGTAACCACTAGTCTGTTGTTTTTGTTGTATTTTGTTTGTTCATTTATTTGGTTTTCCACATATGAATGAAATCATATAGTATTTGTCTTTCTCTGCCTTACTTATTTCATTTAGTCTGATACCTTAAGGGTCCACCTGTATTGTCAAAAATGGCAAGATTTCATTCTTTTTTTTTTATGTTTGAGTAGTAGTCCATTGTATAAATGTACCACATTCTCTTTATCCATCTATCGATGGACACCTAGGTTGTTTCCATATCTTGGCTATTATAAATAATGCTGCAATAAACATAGGTGTGCATATATCTTTTCGAATTAGTGTTTTCATAGTCTTTGGATAAATACCGCAGAGTAGAATATCAGGGTCATATGGTAGTTCTGTTCTTAATTTTTTGAGGCCACTATGGTTTTTTTTCCTTTCTTTTTTTTTAGATTTTATTTATTTTTTTGTCAGAGAGCACAAGCAGGGGAAGCGGCAGGCAGAGGAAGGTGCAGGCTCTCCACTGAGCAAGGACCCCAATGCGGGATTCCATCCCAGGACCCTGGGATCATGACCTCAGCCGAAGGCCTATGCTTAACCAACTGAGCCACCCAGGCGTCCCACTGTGTTTTTTTTTTAGTGGGTACACGGATTTACATTCTCACTAACAGTGCACAAAGTTTCCCTTCTCCACATCCTCACCAACACTTGTAATTTCTTATCTTTTTTTAAATAACCATTCTGACAGATGTTAGGTGTTTCTCATTGTGGTTTTGATTTGCATTTGTCTGTTAGATAGTGGTGTTGAGCATCTTTTCATGTGCCTGTTGACCATCTGTATGTCTTCTTTGGAGAAATGTTTATTCAAGTCTTATGCCCCTCCCCCTTTTTGTAGAGGGGAGGGGGGAAGGGTAGGAGGGGCAGAAGGAGAGGGAGAGAGAGAATCTTAAGCAGGTTCCATGCTCAGTGCAGAGCCCAACACAGGACTCGATCTCACAATCCTGAGATCATGACCTGAGCTGAAATCAAGAGTTGGATGCTTAACTGACTGAGCCACCCAGGTGCCTCTCTTCTGCCCATTTTTTAATCAGGTTGTTTGTTTTGTTGTTGTCATTGAGTTAAATGAATTTTGTATGTATTTTAGATATTAACCCCTTAATGGATATATAGTTTGCAAAAAACAAAAACAAAAAACTTCTCCTACTCAGTGGGTTGCCTGTTCATTTTTTTGATGGTTCGTTCCTATGCTGGGTAGAAGCTTTTAAGTTTGATGGAGTCCAATTTGTGGGCTCTCACTTTTGTTTCCCTTGTCTTTAGAATCACATCCACAAAGATGTTGCTAAGACTGATGTCAAGGAGTTTAACACTTACATTTTCTTCTAAGAATTTTATGGTTTCAGATCTTATATTCAAGTTTTTAATGCATTTTGAGTTAATTTTTGTGTATTATTATACACAAAAATGGTCTAGTTTTATTCTTTCACATATGGCTGTCCAGTTTTCCCAACATCATTCTTTTTTTTTTTTTTTAAAGATTTTATTTATTTATTTGAGAGAGAGAGAATGAGAGAGAAAGAGCACATGAGAGGGGCGAGGGTCAGAGGGAGAATCAGACTCCCCGCTGAGCAGCGAGCCCAATGCGGGCGGGACTCGATCCTGGGACTCCCGGATCATGACCTGAGCTGAAGGAAGTCGCTTAACGAACTGAGCCACCCAGGCTCCCCCCAACATCATTCTTGAAGGGTCTGCCCTTTCCCTATTGTATGTTCTGGGCTCATTTGTCATATATTAACTATCCATATATGTGTGGGTTTATTTCTGGGCTTTCTGTCTGTTTCATTGATCTGTGTGTCTGTCTTTGTATCCGTACCAAAATTTATTTATTACAGCTTTGCAGTAAGTTTAAAGTCAGGAAGTGTGATACCTCCAGCTTTGTTCTTCTTTTTCAAGATTGCTTGGGCTTTTTAGGATCTTTTGTGGTTCCATACAAATTTTAGAATTATTCGTTCTAGTTCTATGAAATATGCCACTGGAATTTTGATAGGTATTGCATTGAATCTGTGGATTGTGTTGGGTAGTATAGACATTTTAACAATATTAATTCTTCCCAGAGTACACAATATGTTTCCATTTATTTTTCTTCAGTGTCTTAAAGTTTCCAGTCTCCAGGTCATTCATCTCCTTGCTTAAATTTATTAGGAGGTATTTTATTCTTTTGTTAGTGCAACTGTAAACGGGATTGTTTTCTAAACTTCTCTTTCTAATGTTTTGTTATTAGTGTATAGAAATACTACAGGTTTCTGTGTATTGGTTTTGTACCCTGCAACTTGACTGAATTCATTTATTCTAACAGTGTTTTGTTTGTTTTTTGGTGGATTCTTTATAGTTTTCTATACATAGTATTATGTCATCTGCAAGTAGCGACAGTTTTACCTCTTTTCTGATATGAATGCCTTTTATTTCTTTTTCTTGCCTAATATTTGTGGTAGGACTTCTAATATTGCTTTTGAATAAAAGTGGTGAGAGTGGGCATCCTTGTCTTGTTCCTGATCTTAGAGCTTTCAGCTTTTCACCATTGAGTATGATGTTAGCTATAGGGTTGTCAAATAAGACCTTTATTACACTGAAGTATATTTCCTCCATACCCACTTTGTTGGGAATTTTTATCATAAATGAATGTTGAATTTTGTCAGATTTTTTTTCCTGCATCTATTGAGATGATCTTGTGATTTTTATCTTTCATTTCGTTAATGTGATGTGCAGTATAGATTGATTTGCAGATACTGGACAATCCTGGCATCACTGGAATAAATCTCACTTGATCGTGGAATATGATTCTTTTAATGTATTGTTGGATATGTTTTGCGAATATTTGTTGTGGATTTTTGGATCTATGTTCATCAAGGATATTGGCTTCTAATTTTCTTTTTTTGCGGTGCCCTTGTCTGGTTTTGGTATCAGGGTAATGCTGGCCTTGTAAAATGTGATTGGAAGCTTTCTGTCCTCTTCAAATTTTGGAAGAGTTTGAAAAGGATAGGTGTTAAGTCTTTGTATGTTCAGTAGAATTCTCCAGTGAAGCCATCTGGTCCTGGACTTTTGTTGTTGGGAGGTTTTTGATTACTGTTTCAATCTCCTTACTGGTCTGTTTAGATTTTATATTTCTTTATTATTCAGTCTTGAAAGATTGTAGGTTTCTAGGAATTTATTCATTTCTTCTAGGTTGTCCAGTTTTTTTGTGTATCATTTTTCATAGTAGTCTCTCTACAATCCTTTGTATTTCTGTGGTATTGGTTGTAACTCCTCCTCTTCCTGATTTTATTTGAATTCTTTCTCTCTCTCTCTTTTTCTTGGTTAGTTTAGTTTCTTTTGTGTATTTACACAAAAGAATATTTTTTTTTCCTTGTGCTTACCATGAGGTTCACATTGAATATCATATGTAAGTAGCAGTTTGTTTTAGATTGATAGCAACTTAATTTTAAATACATTCCAAAGCTTTACCTTATTACTCCTCCCCCATGTTTTATATATTTTGATGACACATCTTGCATCTTTTTATTTTATGCCGCCCTTAACTAATTATTGTAATTTGAAGGAATTTTACTACCTTTTTCTTTTAACTTTCATGCTTGCTTTACAAGCACTTGTCCACTATCTTTGTTATATATTTTCCTTTTCCAGTAAGATTTTTTACTTTCATTCATATATATGTATATGTGAATATATATAATATATATTATGAATATATAATATAAATTAATTATAATCAAATATGTTTTTAATATTTTATAATCAAATGAATATATTTGGTTATAATTAATAGTGCCATTTCCCTTTGGCTTAAAGAAGGCCCATTAGCACTTCTTGTAGGACCAGTTTAGTGGTGATGAATCCTTTACCTTTTGCTTATCTGGAAAGCTCTTAATCTGCCCTTCAATTTGGAATGATAACCTTACTGGGTAGAGAATTCTTGGTTGAATTCATTGAACAGATAAAGTAACTGAGCTACTTCAGGGATGGGAGACCATCCCAGCCAGGTGCTCTGGCCCGGCTAGAAGAGCTCAGATTGTAATGTTTACTCTTTCCTCTCAAGTGAGTCCCTCTATTGATTCCTTCTATTCTTTCATCTGCTAAATAATTATTGAGCACCTACTATGTAGTAGGCACTCGGGAGGCTTGTGGGATTCACTGGCAAACAAGCTTGTAGTCCAATGATGTCTTCTTTCATTTTATAGGTTATGGCTTTCAAATCACAGCCTATTTCCTCAAGAGAGGGATACGCCTTCACTGTTTTGGGGGTTCACAGAGGACTGGTAAGAAACTGATTTCTTGAGTTGTCAGGCATTTTGCACTATTAACTTGCTCTAGAGAGGAATGAAAATTAAGGAACCAAGATTCCAACTTGCTTCATTGCCTTTGTGAAATTGAAGTAGTAATTAAGAATATTTCTAAACATTTGTGATTTTTGTTTTGTTTTGTTTTTTAATTTTCACTGATTTTGAGAACTGTGAGCCGAGCCACATTGTGCTTCACTCTCCTGCTGCATCTCAGCACTTTCATTGAGCTTCCAGAGCGATTTGACAGGCAGTTAAACTATGAATCACTTCATCTTTGTCTGTGCACACCAAGTCCCTGGGATACAGAACAAGTGTGTACACGAGAAAATGCTTTCCCAGCCCAGAGCTGTCAGAGCCTTTCTTAGGTGTGTGACAAGGCCAGCTTCCCTCCTCATTTCCCCAAGTCAAGAAGTCCATTGGGGAAATGATGTCAAACACGTCCAGCCAACAACAATAAAGTCAGATGCTAATGACAGTTCTCCAAGCTGATCTGAACATTGGAAAGAAAATCTAACTGAACTTCCTTGGATGATTTTAACATATAAGATATGAAACAGGGACTTTGAAAATAAACTGTACGGAGATTTGCTCTTGGAATCTTAACAATGATCTGCACTTTTTAAACTTTAAGTGTCACTCAAATATATTACTCTCTTAATGGGGCTTTCCACGTTGTTCAGTTCTCTTAGTAAAATAAGCCAGGTATCCTTGTATCTGTCTGTTAAAATGAAGGCTAGCTACTCTGTATGGTAGAGATAGTTACTGCCTAAATCTTTACTTTATTTAAATATTAAAACAATAAAAATCTCAGTTATGACCTAAGCAAAGAAAAAGTATACGGAAGTTGCTTTCTGTTTATACAATACCTGGCCCCCAAATGTTCAAAATTAATCATTTTGGCATTCTTATTTTTCAGAGAAGAAATGGAAGGACAAATCAGAGGAATTATTGGATAGAACTGATTATTTTGAATTTGAATTCTGATCTACTGAGTTGTATTGCAATATTAGGTTTTGGGCAGAGGGCAGATAATGAATTCTGTGGCTCAGTTCCCTCTTCCTGAAAGTGAGAAGCAGACTATTTACCACTTATTTCATTAAGAAATTTTAAGAATTGGGGTTGCCTGGGTGGCTCAGTTGGTTAAGAATCTGACTTTGGCTCAGGTCATGATCTTGGCGTCCTGGGATTGAGCCCTGTGTTGGGCTCTGCACTCAGTGGGGAATCTGCTTCTCCCTCTCCCTTTCCCTCTGCCCCACCCCCTACTCTTGCACGTAGGAACGCACTCTCTGTCTCTCTATCTCTGTCTCTCTCATAAATAAATAAATAAAATCTTTTTTTTTTTTTTTTAAGAAATTTTAACAATTAATGAACAAGGGCCCCTGGGCAGCTCAGTCAGTTAAGCTTCTGCCTTCAGCTCAGGTCATGATCCCAGAGTCCTGGGATCAGCCCTGCATCAGGCTCCCTGCTCATTGGGGAGCCTGCTTCTCCTTCTCCCTCTGCTGCTCCCCCTGCTTGTACTCTCTCTCTCCCTCCTCCCTCTGTCAAATAAATAACTAAATAACTAATCTTAAAAAAAAAATTAATGAATAGGTATTAATGACTTTTATTTATTTATCTTTGGTTTTTCAAAGTCTATCCCTAGTCTCCTAACCAGATAAACATTCATGAGAGGTCAGAGTTTCAACACACTCAGACTTCTGAAATGGGGAGGTCTAATGGGGGTAAGACCAGAATGATAGCTTAGGTCCCACTCAGGGAGGGCTTTGAAGTTTGCAGGTCTGTGGTAGATACTGAGGAGCCAGGATGGGGTTTTGAGCAGGATAAGTGGAGCTGTTTTTTTTTGTTTTGTTTTGTTTTGTTTAGAACTGGTAACCTGCTTGCACTGAGTAGGATAAAATAGAATAGGGAAGAGTGATCACCAAGGACACAGCAGTGGTCTAGGGGAGAGGTTAAGGAGATGGCTATTACTAGAACATTAACTCATTAGGCCTTTGGTGTAATTTAACCTAGCCAGGTGGTATGGTGTTAACTGTGTTTAAGTTGTGTGTCTCTGTAATCAACACCTTCACGCTTGGCTCCTGAGTGTATCAGGCTAAAAGGTGTTATTACCTCAGTCAGCCCCTCACATTGTCATCCATTGTTGGAAATGAACAATGTATGTAAAAGGCTTCACTTATCTGATTCATACCATCCCTATTTAGAAATATTGGTCATCTAAGAGGGAAGTTTTCACTTTTAGAAAAATAGCTTTGTGATATCAGTATGATACATGTGTATTATAAAAATATTAGAGCAATACAACCAAGTATAAAGAAGGAAGAAGATCCTCACCTGCCACCCAGAATATACACTATTAGCATCAGCTAAACATCACTCCAGAGATAGGTGGAGGCTGCGTAAGTGAACGTGGATGAATAGACAGACAGATGAGAGAGGAGGAAAGATACAGATGGCATTTACCACTTCATATTCTTTTTTTCATTGAATGTTGGGGCATCTAGTTCTGTAATTCCTTCAGCCTTCTCCACCCGGAAGTCAGTGGTTTTGCTTTAAGAAGTTGTAATGATAGATTAGTGGACTGTAGTGTAATTGTATCATCTTTGGTATCGCATATTTTACTATTTCCTTATTATTTTTCCTATTAATGACACTGCTATTTTCATAGCCTGATTCAGATAGGGAATTTGCCCACCAGTTTAGGGGACTGATCTAAGACCAGTTGACCAAAGAGGTGATAAGTAAAGTAATTAGTAAGAACGTCAACGAGTTTTCAGATTTTATCTCCTATTCTTCCTCTTCCTGTATAAATCTGCATACTCATTAGAGAACGTTGATCCTGTGTCCCAAATGTGAGTTCTGGTCAAAGAACAGCAAACTGACACAGGCGGAGGGCTGCAAAGGCCCTTCCTGGGGGTTTCATGGGTTATAATATAATGGTCCAGGGGCTCAGGTGGACCAATTTGCAACCTCCTGGGTGCTCCCCAGAGCTCTGTGCTTGCCCCGCCCTGCTGATTGCAAACACTGAAAGGCAAGGAGGAGAAGAGACATGTGTCTGATACATACATGCTTATAACTATAACTGAAAAATCTGGGACCAAGCATTTCTCTGTTCATAGATTTTTGATGCCTTTAGTAACTTGCTTTTCTTCATTTTGTGCAGAGCTCCGTGTATTTCCTGACAGATTTGTGGTCTGTGTAAGTCAGCTGTCATTCAGTCGTGATCTTTTGGCAAGTCAGAATGAAGAATTGGTATGTACAAAAATATTATATAAATAAATCTGCTTAAATGACAACTTACTGTAAAAATCGAAAAAAGTGTTGTCTTCAGTTATCATTTGGCTATCCATCATTCACTGCATCTTTTAAGGGACCAAAAATGATAATATTAACTGATGTGTTTTGGTTTGTTTGTTTTTATTTTTTTTTATCCTGAAGACCCCTTGAAAGTTTGATCAGCCTTATCTTTTCTACATCAGTTTTAAATGGGAAAACAACATATCACAAAAACTGTGATGGTGCTTATGATAATATTCAAATGAGATAAAGCAAAGTCTTTCACTGAAATGAAGCAAAATCCACGTTTCCACTGGAAGCTTTCATTGGGGTCAGTGGCTTTTGAATTTTATTCCATGGTGAATCACTGACATTTTCATGAGAATCAGTACTTTTCCCCAGTGTGTTGTTTCTTTGCTGATAGGGCTTCTTTTCTGTCTCTTTTCTCAGGCTTAGTTTCAAGCTTCATCAGGTCCTGTTTCATTGGAGTTCTCAATGCAGTTAAATAGATACAAAAAACTCACCCATAATATTGTAGGTTACAGCTTTGTCTTGTAAGCTTAACATATACACTTGAGAGAGTCTACTTGGGTGTGTGTGTGTGTGTGTGTGTCTGTCTGTCTGTCTGTCTGTCTCTTGCTGCAGCCACAGTCCAATCTATCTGAACTAATCTGTGTGCAAACTTTTTTTCATATTTTTGGTTATATTACTTGAACTTTAACAAAGAGGAAAAAAATCTAGCAGACATGAAACCTGGACATGAAGTGTGACATGATTATTATGCTTCTGAAGTAATTTATGGGAATATTAGATTACTCCTTATGTTTATTATTTTTTAATCCATATGAAATGTGAAATTTGGCCCACATGGTCTAAAACCAGCTTCTTACCTCATCTTAAATAAATGCATAGAGACTAGAAGGGTGAATAGGGACCTAGGAAAAGTAAAGAGCAGAGAAGCTTTTGTTTGGAGCAGATGAGCACTTTGAAAAAGCCAGTGGGACCCTTATTTCTTCATCTATCAATTAAATGGCATAAATCAAGCAAATTTGGTAAAAAGTATTAAAAGTGTATTCTTTGAAATGTTCCCAGGATGTTAGAGTTGTCTTAGTAAATTAATAAATACTAAAGTAGTAATGCTGTTGGCAAACAACTATAATATAACTTAACTGATTCTCAGAGCAGTGAAGAAATTGATCTGTGGTTTAAGAAAACAATTAGCTATACCAGGAAGTGTCATTGCTTCAGATGGAATACAGAAGAAATTAAATCTTGTATGATATGTAATATTAATACTTAATATCTTAAATTGTTAAGGGTGAATTAAAACATTTCAATACAAATGAAATATTATCCTCCTTAGGGGCACTGGTCTTTATACAGATCTGAGTTTTCTATAGCTGCTGTCATATAAATCCTGTAATCTGGAGGACTTCCTAAATGTTAAGAATTTTCATTCTGAAGAGTTGACTAGTCTGAGCCTTTTACATAAGCCAGTTCAGTTTTCTTGTCTTCAGTATGTGGTTGTTTTTTTTTTAAGGTTTTATTTATTTATTTGACAGAGATAGAGAGAGCACAAGTAGGCAGAGAGGCAGGCAGAGGGAGAGGGAGAAGCAGGCTCTCCGCTGAGCAGGGAGCCTGATGCAGGACTCGATCCCAGGACCCTGGGATCATGACCTGAGCTGAAGGCAGCCGCTTAACCGAGTCACCCAGGCGCCCTTGTCTTCAGTATGTTCTGACTTCTAGTGATAACACTATCAGAGTTCATATCATGAGGGTCTTTCATTGTTTTCAGCAACTCTTTACGTGTGCTCTGGCTCTGGCTCTTCAGCTGCTCTTCTTCTGCACCTCTGACTGTGCCTTCTTCACATACACACACTTTCCTAGCCACGCACGTGGGAGTCAGCTAACACGTAGCACCACTAACCAGCTCCCTTGCTGGACACAGGCTCTGTGCACCCCTTTCTCCTTTCAGGCCTCCAGTCCACCACTTCCTTAAGCTTGTTGTCCCTAGAAACAGTGAAATATCCAGGCCTAGCAAAGGGTCCTCCTGCAAATTGCCCATCAAGCCAAAAACATGGTCCTTCCACTGCAGGTGCCTTGGAGCTTTCACCTCATTGATGTTTGACCTCTGCAGAGCCCAGCTGTCCTAGCCATTTGAAGCTCAATAAACCATCCTTCCTTCCCAGAATTGCCTTCTGTCTGAGAGAAGGCCTGCATATAACTCCTTGTTATATACTTCAAATGCCCAAAGCCAGTAATATCTGGCTTTTGTGTACGTATTCCTTGAACTTCTGGAAAGCTTTGAATTCTTTATCAGTTTACATTGATATTCACCAAAGGGCAGAATCCATCTTATTTCTGTTGGTAGTTATTCTCTAGGAATGTCTGACTGGGCAAGGCCTGGGAAATTGGCTTCCTAAATAGCTGTATTGGAGGTGCGTTTTTGTCAATAAGCATCAGTGATTTTCCTGTAAGTGTTTACTGAATTCGGTCTTCCATGGCCCCAGAAGTGACGGGGGAGTGAGCCCGTACGCAAGCAAAAGCCTGGGCGCCTCGCTTGTGCCTTGAGTAACGGATTCCTTTTCCTCCTTCTCCTTTTTGTCTTTTTCTTTTTCCTTTTGGTTCCTCCATATCTAAATGACAGTTGGTTAGGAAATCTGGGAGTGCCTATTCAGAACTGCTCTGCCAGGGGGTCCTTTCAGCCTGTATAGAAGGAAGCCAGCTGCACTTAGCTCCCCGGTTCTTAAAGGTGGTTGCACAAAAGAACCGCTGTTGCAGATCGAGCAGTACAAAGGGGAGTAATCTCCCTCCTTTGGAGGGCAGAACGGTGCAGCCATGCCACCCCCTCATGCCCTCCCCCAGCACCAGGGAGGTCTATTACCCCAGCGTCGGCATTTCTGTCGCCCACCAAGGGGCGTTGTTGCAGGGAGATGCGCCGTGTTGCAATAGCTCTGCATCGAGTGCCCATGTGCCAGGGATGTGGGAATTGTGATGTGTACTTTGGGAAGAAAGGGCATTATTATGAGATGAGTCACTGTATTTTTCTTACTACAGTTTCTCATAAGAAATCTCGAGGCCCTTGTAGCCCCAGTGTTTGACCTATTGCTAGGAATGGAGCCGGGAAGTCTTTCCGAGGGTTTTTACCTTTTGTTTTGTTCTGTGGCGTTTGTCTCCCTTACCTTTTTTTCCCGAGAAATATGAAAAGCATTAAGTAAATTTTGTTTGCACTCAGTTATATTCCATTTCAACAATATTGCCTTCCATATTTACAAACCCAGGTCCCTGTGTCGAAGCTGTTTTTCCCTCAGATGTAAAGCTCTGGGGCTTTTGGAAAATTAAAAATTATTTATTATTTTCATTATTTCTTTATTAAAGTGAATAGCCAATAATCACCAAAGTAATTACTTTACTAAGTAATAACTTTATTGTGTAAATAGAACTCTGTATGTAGCTGGGGCATTTCAGGGTCAGCACAAAGCTATTATCTCAAAGAGCATTGGTTACAGGCACTCCTACCCTCTGGAGATCCTTCCCATCTGTTCTCACCATCACACTTGAACATAGGTTGCTGAGTGCTGGCTCTGTGCCAGGAGCTCTGGTAGGGAAAAAAAAGAAAAAATAAGAAAGTGGAGCTTGTAGTCTGCCTTCAAGGAGCTTGTAGTCTGCCAGATCACGGGTACTGAAGGTTACCCTGGTGACCTAAAAAAAAAAAATGTAATTCAAATAGAGCCTCCTTTTTTCTTAACAATGTATCCATTCTGCACCTTAATGGTGCACTTGGATCCTCTGCTATTCGGAAGAAAGCCCCAAATTCTAAATTATTTTCTTACTTTTAAATCTAAGCTATAAGTCTGTGATTCTTTTGGAAATTAAAAATAGCATGTAGCACACCAGGGCTGCCTGAAAGTGGGTATATAATTCAGATACTTGAGTTCTCTGCCTCATTCCTGCCCCATTTGGGTCGTGGTCAAGCTGTGGCAGTAGTCGTCAAGGTTCTGCAGATGCACCGGTCACCAGGCCCTATGTGCTAGGCCCTCACTGTTAGCATCAGCTCGGGGGACAATCACCGGCATGTCCCGACGGGAGACACTGTTTAACACTAAACTGAACACGTGAGTCAAACTACTGTGTAATGGCAAAGAATTCTGCTAGTTTATGAGTATAAAATTGAAATGAGAACGAGTCTAAAGAAGCAATAAACCGTGCTAGCCGAGATTATTTTTAGCTTGGCTGTCGTAATTGAACCTCTGGGCCTTAACCCTCATCTCAGTCAAGGGGGGAGGGTATCAAATGATCTCAGAAATCCTTTCTCACACTGAATTTCTGTCCAAGGAAGCAGATGAAAATGTAGCTAAGTAACAACCGTAAAATAATTTTGTACAAAAGAAAACCTCACTTGTAGGTTTAAAAGTTGTGGTAAAAAAAATGGGGGGGTAGAGCTACATTTTATTTTAGGAAAGATAAAAAGAATATATAAAGAAACAATTCAGACCTTCTGTTTTTAGAAGAAATAAACTACTTAATAGTTAGACTATGCATTAACTTTGCACCCTTATTGACAATGTTTTATAAGGAAACTTCTGCCTAACTATAAATCAGATCATTCGAGAAAAGAACTCTTTTTTTGTATCAAAAAAATAAGTAGTGGATTTTTTTCTAAGTTTTTCATAATGTGTCATAAGCTTTTTAAGAATCCATTCTTCTCATCTTATTGTATTTCCGAAACAATGCTAGTGGTAAATTCCTTGGAAGCCATTAACCAGAGATTCCTGTAGCCCTAGGAAAAGTTCCTTGACAGGGAAGATGTTGTTTCCATATTTCACATTTCCCACAGTGTTCTGAACTTAGTTTTTTACTTAATAACTGCTTACCAAAATTGTCCATGTTCATTGTACAGAAACTCTAGAATTCTTTGTTTACAAAGAAAGTAAAAATTATCTACAACTCCCAACCTAAAGACAGCCTCTCTTAAT